TTTACTCAAGATGTTAGAGTCACTCACACTCTGTCTTTCTTCAGAAAAATGGCCATAAGGACGACATCCTTTGTGTGGCGCATTGTCCCCCATCTCTCCTGGCCACCAGCAGTTATGATGGAGAGATTATATTGTGGAACATGGTTTCTGGGTGTATACTGTCTCGGTTTGTCAGCCCTCCTCCAGCTGAATGCCAGAATGTTGAAGGTGATTTTTGTAGCTTCAGTGTGAATGATGAATATAGTGTATTCAGTGAACTCTCCAGTGCATACGACATTTATCTTGTATGTTTTTCTGTTACACAGGACTTGACACAACTGTTCCATGCATAATTTTTATGAAACACCCCAAGTTACAGCAGTTTTCTTCAGCTACTGCTCTCCTGTCATCTGGGGCCAGGGGTCAGTGTTACAAGCAACGCTAATTACAGGACGTGATTGTACTTTACAGTCTTCCTCGTTGTCTTTCAATACAGTGTTAATTATGCATTTTCTCTTTTAAAGGTTGTATAAATCTCTGGGATGTGCTCAGTGGAGGAAGGTTTGTGAGCAGCTTCAAAGCTGTAAGTTATTTCAATTGACAGTTTTGCTCAGTTTTACTTTTGGATACTAAAAAATGCAATTTTAGTTCTTTTTTCCTATTTTGTCTTTAAAAATTGCTGATTAAAGAACAAGTTAATTCTGGGTTCTGGTTAGTTCTAGGTTTTAAACAACTAGCAGGTATCTGCCATGCATCCGTGTAATGCAAAGCAGGCACCCTTCATTTTGAAAGGCGGGTGAACACTGGGGCATCCAGAACAGTTCTCCCCAAAACCTCCTCTTAAATAAGCACTAATGATCTTTTTAGGCTATAAAACATAAAAAATGTTAATATTTTTCTGAAAAGACACACAAAAACCTTAAAACTACATTTTTGTCTTGCTATCATACCCCAGCTGTGTTTTGTTCCCTAGCAACAATGGCTTTTAACCATTGTAAGGTGCTCTTTTTTCATGTGTTTTCATCTTTTTATGATTAATTTCTACAGTTTATTGGCTGGCTGGCACAGTTTGTGTTATACAATATATCTGATTATTTGGGGAGGATTATTGTCTGAGGGGAACATATTACTGTAGGTCTGTCTGCAGGGAAGCTAACATTTTGTCACCACAGGAAAGATAACAGTTTGACATTAGTGTTTGATTCTGTCTCTTTTATTTTGTTAGTTTGTGTAGGAGAGAGTGTAAAAATGAAAAAGAATGTCGGTGATACTGTGTCTGAAACTTCTGATTTACAGTCTAGATTCCAGCAAAAGGTTACAAAACTGGCTAAAACAGACAACGACACGTTACTATACATTGCTGACCAAATTGGTTACATCTGTGTTTACAACATGGAGAAGATTACACCTGAGCAAAAATCACCAAGAGGTTGCTGCTTTTTTTTTTGCCTTTGCTTTTGATTACACATACCATGTAAATATGAAGTGATGTCAGAACATGCTAAATCACATTTTGAGAGTGTTTATGCTTCTGTTTTTTTGTTTTTTGTTTTAAATTTTATTTAGCCGAAAACTTCTGGCGGGCCCACACCAGGAAAGTTACTGGGTATGTGAAAGAAATACACAACACATACACAACACACCATTCCATGGTCACAAATCCCTCTTCTCATGAATTTAAAATGACTGGGTAACTGCAGTCAAACAGCAGGTAGATTTGGGTTGCGTCCTAATCTTTGAGTTTGTTGTATATTTTAAACTCCCTGTGGGCCCTTCCTTACTGAATACAATTGTTCCCAGTCTGGGGTGTTGATGGCAGCAGGAACAGCACACAGTAACTTCCTCCTGCTGCAGCAGACAAACAAAGTGTAGAAGAGACAGTGTGTGGGAATGTCTCACTATAAACAGACGATCAGTGTAGGTGAGAGGCTGCCTGGGGTGCATCTGCCATTAAATGCACCAACACAGTGGATGATTTAGAGGGTTCTGCCAGAAATGCCTTCTCTTGTTTCATCTCATGTCTCTTTATTTTGGTCCAGTCTGCAGATTGTTGACAATGATCAAGTGCTGCTTACTTCATCCGTTGACTGCACTGTGCGCCTTTGGAGTGCACATGGGGAATTCATAGGTAGGCGTCATTTTGCATCTGTCAGTCCCCTCATTCTAAACATTATTGATGTTCATGCAAACAATATTAGTACAGTGCCTGTGGTGGAAATGCAGTTATTTAACGGCAAATTCATTTCACTGTACACATGGCTGGATTAACCCACAAGGGTAGCCCTGGAGTAAAAATGAGCTATTGAGCCCCCATGGTCCCCCTGTCCTCCCACTCTCTGTGGAGTGTGTAGGTACCCTGTCACCTTCAAGTACCTGTCAAGTACAGTGCACCCTGCAAACTACATGGCAGTTTAATTATGTTTTGCCTAGTGAACCAGCAAACAACCAGAACTCGTACACTAGAGAATTACCTGGCCTCAGATTTAGTGTATGTCACTTACTTTTTGTTAATAACACAATTTCATTTCAGAAACATGCACCATGTAAGTCCAATATTACATAATATATAAATATTTATAGATAGATGTTCACTCTTTCAACCGGTCTGCACATCTTTTTCAGTATTAGTTCATATGAAGCATTTATTTTTCAAAATGTATAATTTGCTGTAAATAAAAATTTGAGTTTTTGTGGGTCTTTGGGAGGCGTGCAGTGCAGTAGGACTGCTGCAGAGAGGCGATTTTAAATGGATTCAGACATTGTGACATTTTAAAAAGCCACAGTTTTTACTGTGTCACATTCTCTCAGCAGCATGTCTTGCAATTTGGCAACACTTTAAATTGGAGTTAAATTGGTCTTTCTCCATAGGGACCTTTGGACAGCCTGAGATCTGGAGTGTCCACATCTCCTCCTCCTGGATGCATCCAGCTGTTCCCTATGAAGTTTTAATTGATCCACTGAGTATGCCAAATCATAAACTTCTGAAAGTAAAAACACAGCTTTCTGATGCCGTCAGTCTTGACAAGAATAGAGAGGGACTGCAGGTGAGCTGCATTATTTCACAAACGACTATCTGATCTGTGTAAGGTATTCTCTCTCTGGCTTCCCCTCCAAATGTTAAAAATGAACTGAACTTTGTCTGCTCCTCTTGTGGTATAATTGCAGTCGGAGATGCACAGTAAGCCGAGACTTCTTCCAACATCCATCAGTGACACAGACATTGAAGAAGATTAAAACGTGTTTTACCCAGAGGGACGCAACACTGGGTGAGTTATCACCATTACAACAGCAAACTCTACTGTACACGCGTTGCAAGTCTTACACCAGCCTCAGCTTAAAAAGCGACAGATTTATATTTAGAGCGAGTGTGTCTTTTTGCATTTAGGACTGTCTTGAAATGACCAGGCACAAGCTACTGAAGCTCTGCACTCTGAAAGGCTTTGATACTGTGGAGCCATCAAACATCAGTGCAAGACCTGACCTCTCCCTCATGGTATTGATCCTCCTCACTATATTGATTGCATTTGGGTAACTGGGTCACTGCAGCATGAAGTACATAAAAAAGAGAATTGGGGGCTCATGTAATTATACACAACTGGCTTTCTCAACAATGGACCATGTAAAGTGAAACAATGAATGAATGAAAGTGTGAAAACGTATGATTGTAACATGAAGATGCTTTGAACTGTTGTGAATTAATAAAGAAGACTAAGAAGTCTGGAAACCTTTTTAACAGAAAACAAACTATTTTAAAACAAATTTCAGGATGTTCTCATTTGTTTGTTGAAATGTAAAATTTAAAAAAATTGTTGAGAAGGGTTGCTACCATTAGACTAGAGCAGCAGTGATTACCTTGACATTCATGACTTCCAGCTGTAAAGCATGTATTTTATTTCAGTACTCCTGAAGTTTAATTGAACTAATTTAGTGAGTGAGTTTATGAAAAACACACACATTTATAAGCAACACTAATTACTTGCCCTCAACCTGACTGAAAATATGATGGAATTAGATGAAAATCAAAAATAAAACTTATCACTTTGTTTTAGTGGCGAATAGAGGCTTTTAGGTATGAGTAGGGGGCACGTGAGATATACTGCAGTCTGTCGTGTGTGCACAAGCTGATTAAAATATCACATGAACTAACAAAATGAGCCAGTGAGGTATATTGGATTGTAAAGTGTCTGTGCATATGATTGTATTTTGCACATTCCATCAAGTAAACAGTCACCATGGTATTTAAAATTTGTTGGGCCATTGTTCATAAACTACAGATCCATGGACACCTTGAAAACCTGAAACTTGTCATCTTTTGTGCAGGCAAACACTCCCAGTGTAGTACCGCCCACCCTCCCCCCACATGGTAAGAGGTCATGCAGTTTAATGTTAATAAACAATAATTCCAGGACTGACCCAGGGGAGATTATATACACCATATTTTTTAATTACAGAGACTATTAGTACTTGGCCCTGCCCTGTAACCTTATTATGCACAGCTCTGGGAGCTCTGAACTATTCAAAAGTCCTCAGTGAGTATAAGCACCTTTTGAGAGAAAGAAAGCATGGTAATTTTCAAAATGGAAGACTAAATATTCTAGGTGTGAAACATCTTAATTATAGGTCATAGCTATGCACAGATCCATTTACTTCAGTTACACCCAGGCTGGAGAGCAATGTGATGTTCAAGTGAAAACCATCCTACGCTGGTACATGAAAGAACTGTGCTGTGTGTTTTTGTACAATGTTATAAAGATTTTCAATATTTAAGGATGTGTTCAACTCTCCAAAAACTGTCCTTTTTCATTTACTGTCACTGGAAAAAAAATTCAGGGTGACATTATTGGTTTTCTCCTTTCTGGCTGTGGGAGACATGCATCTGAATGAAAAACTGCCCTCAAAGGATGTTGGGATCTCTGTTTCTGCAATAGATAGATAGATGGATATTTGTTTAAATTTAAACTGTCAGTGTGTTTTCAATAAATGACTGCCATTCTTACATGCATTCTTGTTTTTGATCATTAAAGATCAAAATACAACACAAAACAATTTGATATGGTGTATATATGACAGAAAGTGTGTATGATTTAATGTTGTTTAAGTGTAGCATGTCAGGGTTAGACATGGCTTAGCCAAAAGTGGAAAAAGCCTTCCTGTCAAATGTATTTCACGACTGAGAGAATATGCAAAACAACCACTATTTAACTTTTATCTGGACTCCTCGTATACAGAGAACCTTGCTGCAAGTCGAGTAGCAGGAAATACAGACAACTAATGATGCTTCATAAGCCTGCATTCAAAATTAGCTCTATGACACCTAAATGCACTGAAGCCATTCTTAAAATTACTGGTAGTTGTAAAATTACCAGTAAAATTAAAATTACTGTGTTTGATGTGTAAAAATTCCTGCTTTGTTTTCAGCTGAATTCATGTGATATCACATTTGAGTACATGCTGGCACCTAGCAACATACACTGTTTGTTTTGGGACCAAAATATAACACAAGTAGCCCAGCATTACCATGTTCTCCAGAGAATAGAACAGCACAATTATCCAACTAACTCACTAAGTGTATTTACAGGCGCAGTACACCAGTGTGTTCAATTACTGTGGGTAATTAGCCTCCCCTCGCTCAAACTGAAATTATGCTGGGAAAATATGATGTAGCCAATTTCTATGTGTTAATGATAGAATGAGGTGTAAGTTGTCAAACTCTAACATATTCAACTTAAATCAAAGGCGAGTGAGACAGTTGCCAATGAACAGCAGTCTGTACTCCCACACAGCCCTGAGAAGAGGTTTGTCAAGCAAAAAAATAAAAAACAAAGGCACCTGAGTGGGTGTATCATGTATCATGGGTTTGTATGACAGTAAAATCAACAAAAAGAAGTGTAAGGGGGGAAAAGACTTTGATAAATTGGTTCCTGTTTCTTGTCGTGTACAAACACAGCATCCGACTGAAAAGGTTAAATCATTAAAACTGTACAAACCAGTAGGGACATAAACCCTGGGTCCTGAGTGACCTTTTTCACAACAGACACTTGACAGACTTGACACTGCATAAAAAGCACCCCAGTGTTATTCAAAGCATTAACAATGGCAGCATCCCATTTAGGTGCACCACATCCAGGGGCCACTGGCACAGGTTAGTGGGAGATCTGAAGCGGTGGCAAGAAAAACTGTCTGCTGTAAAAACAAAACAAACAAACAGGGGGATTGTTAACTATTCATATTCAGAGTACTGTTTTACAGCTAAAAAGGATTTGTATAATTACACACAAAAAAAACTAAATTTATACTTCCGGTCTATTTCTTTCAGCATTGTTTTTTGTTTTGCAGCATTTAGATAATCATGTGGTGAGATAAAACGTGCATCTATTTGAGCAGTTCATTAAATGAAATGTGAAAAAGTAAAATATAATTGTACAGGCTTTTAGTTGGCTATAGTCAAAAACAATTAGAAGGGGATGGCTGTGTTGCATGGACCCCTGACTACAGCTGCAACAATTAATCAAGTGGTTGGTCTATGGAAGATTAATCTGAAAATAACTGATTAATCAATAAAATACTTTCTTAAAGGCCAAACATTTGCTGGTTCAGCTTCTCCAATGTGAGGATTTCCTGCTATCTGATCTGAAGGCATTTGAAAGTGACATTTTAAGGATGTTTAAACAATCTGTTGACCAAATAGACTATAAGATCCTGGCTATGGCCTTGTCAGAGCTCTTTCTGTTGAATAAGGTGCAGTTCTGATCAAACTATAAGGCTTGGTTATTAAAATAAAAATTCTAAAAGAAGATGATGCTTTTGCTACACTGTCTGTTTCGTCCTTATATCATCCAAAACTGAATCTCCAACAAAATTCTATTTCCAGCTCTAGTGCTCAGAAGCAGGAGTTTCTCTGGAGCTCATGTGTATGGGGTTGTTTGGTGTCCCCCCCCCCCCCCCTTCATCTGCGCGGGCTGCCCGTCAGCCCAGTTCAGTGAGCTCATCCCGCCAGCAGAGCGCGTCCCTGCGCCTTGCACAGAAAGTGGAGCTGCCTCCTACCAGAGCACAAACCCACTCCCCGATTTCCGTGAAACTGTGAAAAGGAAAAGCCCTCTTGGTTCTTTCAAACACTGCCAGAAAGCCTGTGCACCGAGAGCTTTCTTCATCACCTACACTGCTCACAGGACTCTGCCAGGATGCTGTGGAACAACCCTCATAGCGGGCACATAGTGGCAGGCTGTTTGTTGTTCCTCTCCTTCTGTAAGTCCTCACTTCACTTTCTAATCCTCATGTCAGGGGGCTCAGAGCAGACAGCTGTGAGGGACGTAATGACAGCCTCAACAGTAAACAGTGTGTCCTGATTTCTGAGGTGACGCTTGTGTTCGGACAGAAGCGACAGTGTAGCGCTGGACCCCGCGTTTCCAGCGGCAGGAAGAGACCAGCATTTCTAGAACTGTTGGAGAAGTGCGGAGCCATGATTCGCCTCAACTTCCTGAGGAGTTGAAAGGCGATTTTCACGTACCGGCTGCCATGTGGGTTTATGCACACTAATGGCTGTAAGTTTAAGTTAGAGTTACTCATATGCAAAGGTTTTTATAACCCGGGTTTTAGGAATCACGGCATTCCCCCTGAAACCAGTTCTCACTCGCAACAAGCTGCGTTACGCGGCTTCTTCCCGACACATCGGCGCTGCTCTGGTGGGAGCCAAGCCCGGGGATGAATGCACCTCCGGAAACAGCCAGTGCAAGCTTTACGAAGTGGGAGTTTCTCTGTCACTCGGGATGTGCATCAGGAATTTAGCAGCACAAGTAGATTAAGCAGATTAAACGACAGCTGCATTAACAAAGCTTTTTTGGTGCCATAAGGGTGAAAAACCATATCCACAGAATTACCAGCATTATGAAAGAGTGGTAATGTAGGCTATTTGGTTTAAAATTTCTAGTTGCTGGAGCAAATGAGGTGAATTTTAGATCACAGTTTTTAAAAAGCACGTTTTAACCACTAATTAACTTTTCATATAATATGTGTCTTTCACCTTTAAGGAGAAAGATCTGCATATAATATGTTATACACATATGGAAGAGTATCCGTGATGTGTGGTGCATTGGTGGGCTGCACTGGCCCAGTGTACCATGTGGATGCCCCCCCCGACCACAATGAGATAAATACCGATAGCAGGAGAGTCTGCCTGTCCTGCTGGTACTGGAAATTGTTGCAAGAAAAAAAAAAAAAGACCAGATTACAAGGATCTGTAAATTTTTTAGTGCTGCAAGAAAGGGCAACATCTGCTTGGATAAAATAGTTCAGGAATTATTAATTATTGTCGTGTTCCAGGCCAACAGTCCCACTATCTCTGGAACTTAATGGTTCTTTACATAAAGAAAGCAGTGGTATAAAATGAAACAAAGAGGAATAAAGTACAAGTATTCTATCATACACTGTTGCCATTGAATTTGTAATTGTATCATGACTGAATTGAATTGTAGACACCATATCGTGCAATGAATTGTATCAAGAAAAAAAAATCTTTGTCCCATTCCTACCACAGAATGAGTTAAAATACAGTGTAAGTGTAGGTTTAAAACTGATTATCCCAGGTCGAAACCAATAAATATTAAATATTGCCTTGTTCCAGGCCAACAGTCCCACGTATCTATGAATCGTAATGCTGCAAACACTTGCTACCACTCACAATGATTTAATATTCCAATGCACAGTATGGTCTGTACAATTCAGTTCAGTCATGATACAATTAAAAATTCAATGACAACAGTGTATGATGGAATACTTGTACTTTATTCCTCTTTTTTCTAGTACTGATTTCTCTATGTAAAGAACAACCAGATAGTTAGGCTCTATTATTAGTGGTAAAAAGATGTAATGTTGGCTTCTAGTTTACCTGAAGATTTGGTCAATTAGCCAGAACATATACACTACTTTGTCTTAAGCTTGCGGATATGTCAGCCTTACAGAACAGTCTGGGCAGTATGGGGAGCCATGGTCCATGCTGCAATCTACCGGTTCCCTGTGCACAAGCAAAAGCTGTGTTTGTGAGTTTGGCACAGAGTCAACCACATTTAGCTGGGCATCAGACTCAGACAAGGCCAATTGTCTGCTCTCCCTGTATGTAATATTCATGGACCTAACATCAAGGCACAGTCGAGGTCTGGAGAGTGTGCAGTTGGGTGGCATTAGGGTGCCACCTCTGCTGTTTTTCAATGATGTCGTCCGTGAGGCTTCAGCACATTGTCATTTCTGAGATGCACTGGACTGGTTTGCAGCTGAATGTGATGCAGTTTGGATGAGGAGCAGCAGCTCCACTCCAGTCCACACAGGCAACATTTCAATTGTGCCTCATGTAGTAGGTCAGCAAAGTCTTAATTTGAAAATAGATATGTGGATGTGAGTTGGTTCTATATAAAAAACACTCAAGTGTATTTGCTTTTAATATGTGTGAGCTTAGTGAAATGCCTAAATGAAGCATTTATTGTGGTTGTGGTTTGGTGCCTGTTGTCTAAATGTATTTATTTATGTAAAAAGTGAACATTAATGTTACTTGGTTGGTCAATTCCCAGTGGTTATAAATCCTTTTTCAGTTTCAACATCCCAAAAGGGACAGATTTAACTATGTTGACTTTATGAAAAAAGTTAGCTGCCGTAATCTGGCTGCTTCAATTCAGGTGTTTTAGGGCTTTATTTAGAGGTGACAGTAATAGGACTGTGGGATTAATGGTGGTGAAAAGAGAGCCTGGCCACTTAGAGAAGCTCTCAAAGCTATCATCTCAAGTTTTGGGCAGTGACTGAAGGAATGAGATTGTGGACCCGAGTGGCCAGGATGAGTTTTCTCTGTGACAGGGTGAGTGATTCAGGAGGACTTCAGGGTCCAGCTGCTGCTCTGGCTCATCCACAGTGAGAAAGTTTGGCTGAAGCAGACCACGCACCTGATGTAGATGTGCCCCTGAGACGCCTCACGCATTCAGACCCAGGATTTACTGTATATCTCTGACTGGTCTCGGAGCGCATGCTTGTGGATCCCACAGGAAGTGCTGCTGAGGGAGGGTCTCCTCTGTGTACTTGCCTTTGCACCACACTCCTGACTGAGCTACTTTGACTCAGGGATGTTACCAATGGATATTATTGGTTTATACATCAATGTAATCAAGTACTTTAATTTGCCAGGTATTTAATTTCCCTGATCAACAATAAACAGGCTTTTATGTCTGGTTATTTTATACATTAACAGTTTACTTCCTGTAAAAAGGTTCAGGATATTCATCAATGTTGTGATTATAACATTTCATATATGGCGATATAGGATTTTGACCCTACTGTCAAACCCTAGTGGTGCTTAGAAACACTGAAGACAAAATAATGATTTGCCTTTCCTTGTAAATACCAGGCAGTTGTGGTTCAAAACACTCAAATAATGATTTGCCTTTCCTTGTAAATACACTCTCTTTGCCAGGCAGTTGTGGTTCAAAACACTCAGAGTAGAGAGGAAGTCATTTTGTCTGTTTATTGAAGACAAATTTTAAATCACTTAATGACAAATGATTTCAGATACCATACCGTGTTGACGTTTTAGTTTTATTTTTTACTTGATTTACGGCCATATTCATTAACTCACTAAAGGTGTAAATTGTTTTTATTGAAACGCACCTTTCAAAACATACAAGGAAGGTGTATATGAAACATCCTAAGCTAAAAATAGGAGGCTAACTGTCTGCTTGAGTCAGGATAAAAAGTTTAATATACGAGTGCCAGATGAAGTCTGTGCTTCCTGCATACCTAACAGTTTGTGGGACAGTTTGCAAAAATACAAATCAGATGTACTATGACAGCTGTATGTACAGTACAAACTTTGTGCCATCTGTGCCTGTCCTTTGAGGAGCCACGTTTAATGTTTGCTGCCTGTGTCCTCACACAGTGTTATATTTTTTCCATGAAATAATTACACTACAATATAAAAATAGGTTTGTTGTTATGTTACGTTTATTTTTCACTAGTAGGGACGAGAGAGTGGGAACCAGCGCTCACTTTAACAAACCCTCAATTCTACGTCAACTTGAGATGTTCAGACTGAACAGAAGCAAATTTTAAAGAGAGAGCGATTCTCCTGTACATGTTCTAGGCAACACAAATTGAGGTCAAGACAGGTCTGTAAGAGTTGAATGTTTCACTTTCAGCTGTGCGCCTCCACTCCTCGAAAGCACAGAGACTAGAAGGAAACCGAGTGGCCATAACAGAAAGAATTGGGAGTTCTTGATACATTTTTGAGATCAGTCCTTGTCTGAGCTGTCACACTTTCGCTGGCACAGATCCTGATTGTTGCACAAATTCATCCATGTAGAATGATTCGGCAGACTCCCAAAATAAGTTAAATAAAAGTGTGTTGTTTTTTTTGCCACCTACTGCCAATGTTTGAAAAAATCTTTCTATCATATCTGAGCAAGGCACAACTATGGGCAAGGTTAAATAAAGATCATGGATATGTTTGAAATAAAAGAAAAAAGCCAAATGTTAATTGAACATTTGTGCCTGGTGTTAGACACCCGTCTTGCCACATGCCCGTTCACCACCCTGACCTCCACACTATACTTTCTGTGTAGCTGCACGTAGGGCGAACAGCTTCCTGAATTGGCAATGAACACTGGACATTAATCACAAGCTGCAGAATCATCCAGTATGGACATACTGTAATTCCTATGTCCTTGTGTAGACTCTGCAGACCCATGTCAGTGCATACATTGCCAGTTAGCAAACAGCTACAGCTAACTTCTGTACAGTCATTACATATGCTACAGTAGAGTAGGCTGTGGTTAATGCAGACTTCAAAACACTGCAGCCATCGAATTTTCATGAACAAAACAAAATCAAAATGAACTTTTGTTTACATCTTAATGCTGAAAGCAGAGCAACATGAAAATCCCATTTGTGTCCACTTTGTACCCGCTCATAGAATTTACGTTGATTCACCTTTTATTTCAACCTTTCTGAAGGTTTGACTCTATAGAATACAGTATAGTACAGCACAGTGTTCGTGTGCAAACCCGAGTGCTGAGCTGCTGATTTTAGTAGGGGTTGGCAAGTCCTGGATCCCAGTTTAATGGCCCTTAGCTTGGGGATGTTTGTGCACTGGTCTCTGGGTATCTGACATATCAACACTGTGATGCTATAACTTTTGATTTTATTGTCTTGCTAGATTAAACAACTTTGTTTTTGGGGACCGGTGTGGCAGCAGCTGGGGCTCTTCACGGTTCAGTCTCTTCGGGAGCCTTTAGTTGTCCCATTTTTCTTTGAATACTCCACAAGGACATGGTGATTATCAGAGCTCTTTTAAAGCTGACACTGTGGATAATTAGCATTCAACTTAATGTAATACACCTGCCTTTGTTAATGGGATTTAGTTACTTCAAAGTACTTTCATGTGGTATCTCTGTTTTTTCAATTCCCTCTGTCCCCATTTAATTCTGGATGAAGTGGAAGTGAAGTCAGATACCAATTGTCAAACAAGTAAATTGCTGCTCAGTTACTATCAAGATGTTACACTGCGGACAAGTAGTTCTAGAGAATGAAAGACAACTGTAATTTTGTAAAGTATGCATCCACTTTCCTTTGTGGTCAAATTCTTTAAATTCTCATAGCACGCATATAGTACCGACCTGATTCCCTCCTATTGTTATGGGCAGTGTTTCTTGGGTAATTGCATCAGACTTCGGCTTTTATTACAATGACAATGTAAACTGAGTATCTTGTGACCTTTCATCATGTAGTGATTTTCAGATTTTCTCAAATCAAAGTAAGCAAGTTCCCCTCGGTGCGGCTCTGTTGAAAACGTGGTTGGAAACAACAGACTTGATTATGCAGGCTGTGGAGGCGATGAGATGGAGGTGTCCCCATCAGCACTGACATTACATAGGGACTCAATCCACCCCCCACCCCCCACCCACCCTCGTGTGTCTCTTCTTCTCCCTCCCATCTCAAGTATAAGCCATGAAAAGATGGCAAGTTTGAGCAAATGTAGCAGAATGTGCTGTGAACTTGAATGGATTCCTTTAGCAAACCTGGCTTCATGCCAAACGTTGCATTTTTAATGCTGACAGAAACTGGGATGCCAGACGACAATGTAGTCGCTGCTTGCTTATGATTTGCTGGGTCAGAACTTCACCTGACAATTATAATGTGTGGTCATTGGATAATAATGTGTTTGCCATGTGTTTTAGCTGGTTTTTCTGTCCTTGGTAAAAAAAAAAGGCAGCATAAGGCAAATGATTGATATATTTCTCGCACTGTACAGTTTAATGTCTTTAGTTGCTCCTTTTATCATCCAGCACAGGCTTTTTTCCTTTAGGAGATGTATGTTTTGTGTGATAGAGTACACTTGTTGTACTGTAATTGTTTGAGGGGGTTGCTAAGAACAAACCAGCTAACAGCTGTTTAAATAGGAACAAGTTCAGAACAGGAATTTTTCAGTACTGACTTTGAGCTTGACTGTTTGACCAGCTTGACCATGACTATAGTTGACAAAACTGTTTCCACTCAAGGTCTGTTTACTTGTATCTTCTTGAGCTTTCAACCATATCACATGTTCTTCACCCAGACAAACGTTGTTCAGATGTCATGTAATTGTAGATGTCCAAACTTTCCATATGTTGTTCAATAATCAATAATATTAACAGCATTATTTGTATTATTACTTGGTTATTTGCTGTTATTATTATTATTATTACTAATATTATTAACTTTACATAAACATTTTTAAATAAGTCAAAACTGATTGGAAAACATGTAAAGTCTCTGCTGATATCTGAAGACACAGCTCTATACTGAAACATTGTGTAGTTGTTTCTCTTCCTGGTTGAGCTAAAGGATCATCAACAGCTCCTCATTTGTGAGATTACTTTCTCTTATTTGAGGCATATTCTGAGCTGCCTTCATTACAGAAACACTCTTTTTATTGTAAACCACAGATAGCAGTGTCCTCTTGTCACGCCAAACAAAAGAAAGTAAAGAATGTGTGAAAATCAGATCTCCCTTTGAAAATTCTGTGTGTGAGCTGATGAAGACCTGAGGTGTAATCACTGTTTTAATGTGGGTATTCTGCTCTTTTATAAACATAGTTTTGAAAGGAACACAGGGAAATAATATTCCTTTGACTCAGTTGACGAATTTGGACTGTTTGAAAATTGGCTAGCATCCATTGTTGTTTTTGGTGCTTTCATGACTAAAATAATTAGGTTCATTACATTGTTTGTACTGATCCGGTGGCTTTACTCCAGGCTTTACACACAGAAGTGTTTTGAAGTTAACTCGGCTCTTTGAATAATTTAAGAAGCGAGTTCCTTAGCAGTGAATGGAATTAATGTCTGTCCAAATTACTGCAGAATGGGTCATGAAAGCAAAGTTACACAGGCTGCATCGATGGTATGAAATATGTACATTTATTCTGGACTTTATGGCTGTGTCTGGGATGTTGGGTGACAATAGATTTTCAGCTGCCTTGTTCCGAGAAAACATATCTGTTGCATTTAGGTTTTAATCAGTCGCCCTGTAATGGCTGCTGCAGCCAATCAAGAGAGAAAATGTAACTCCTTTCTTGCTTTTATTGCCTAATTAAAGTCAGATGTAAAGCTGACTAATGTCGGGGTCTGCATGCAGCCTGATTTATTACAAACCAGTGCATAAATTCATTCTTCGTGATGCCGCTGTTTTTGTTGTATTGATTTGAAATCCTGGGAATCTTTCTGCTTGAAATTGTCAGAATTTCAAGAATAGACCATATGAATAGACTTGGCTCTTATTACAAACTTGGATAGACGACTAGTGTGTTGCATTCATGATAAATAAATTATTAAATATTTTCATTTTTTATAAATAATAACATGAGTCAGGTAAAACCATCTGAATCATGAGCCTTGTCTGAATGTGGTAGAGAGGTGACCTGATGCAAAGGAAAAAAGGAGATGGTCCAGTTTAAAAGGATTCATTGCTGCCTGCATCATTATTCAAAATTCTATCAGTATTTTTCTGTTTCCATTACAGGTCACAGTAATTCTGCTGCTGGCACATCAGGAAAAGGCTCACAGGTAAGAAAAACAGCTGACATATGATTCTTTAGTTCCTGTGTGCAAACTAGTCTAAATCCTCATGCTATTGCTGTTCTGTTGGTAATTAGTGTTAATCATTTATTTCCTGGTCTCCTCACCTCTATTAAAGCCTTAATTACCTGACCATCTCAAATAAACAGCCTGATTATTGGCCTCTAGTTCAGAAGTTTAATTCGCTCTGCAGTGCAAACCAATTTGCTTTTTACTCAACTGCAAGTTTCCTTGATTTTTGCTTTTTCTACGTCTGCAGTTGCTGCTCGATGAATAATTAAAATGTTCCGTAGCTGAGACGATTTTGACAGTAAGCCTCCTGGCAGGGCTGCTTAGCATCACAGAAATAGAAAATTATCGTCTTGCTTTTTACTCATGTCAACTACTTTTTCTGCCGAGGAAGTTTTGCCCTTTCCTTTCCTTTTCATTTGTCTCACATTGCTTCTAATCACCTAAACCTCCTATGTGATCCAAGTGAAATTAAAAACAAACATCCTGAAACAGTTGGTTTTCTGTTACTGTAGATGACATTTATGAGAAGATATTGACTTCAAATTTTAATTAAAAAAAGTTTGTTTAAACCTGTTTTCTTTACATAACTCTGCCACATTACCTTTTAAGAAGTTATGCTCAGTCAAACATGCTCAATCTTATTTTTTTTCTTTTCTTAATCAAAGAACAATTAAGGACAGCTGCCTGTCAGAGTGATAAAACAAAGTTTTAAATGGCATCTGTTCAGTTGAAGAAACCCATTAGAGAATGAAAGAAATAGTGTTTTTGCAATAATGGGAAACATAATCATGAATAAAATTCATGCCTAATGTGCTGGAAAAAAGATGAGAGACTGGTTTATAGAGTTCCTTTTTGTCTTAACTCTTATAATGCAATGTCTTCAGAAAGCCTCAGAAAACATCTCAAAGTTTATTTCTGTCTTCTTTTCTGATCTTGACTCTGACTGACTGTGTCTGCTAGTGCTTTTGAGATCTCTACGGGGGGTTGTTGTCCTGTAACCATGCGGCCATGATGGTAACTTGTATTATAATAATAATAATAGATTATTAACAATGAAGGGTCCCTATTGCATTTGCATTTTATCCAATATCACTAAATGTTGACGAGTGTTTCCCAGACAGAGTGCTGGCCGTTTTACACGTTGTCTCAGACATTCATCATATGTTTTTTTTTTGTTTTTTTTTTACAACCAAGCGCATCTGCAAAGTGGAAACCAGGTTGTTTCCTCATTTTTAGACCACCTGAGCTTTAGAACAACATTAACAAATTAGAAAGGAATACAGATTTTTAGGTCATGGAATTGCTCCAGTTTAGTTAACAAAAGCCATGGAATTTACATCAGGGCCACGGTGGGAGAGACCTGGCAGTTATTTACATACATTGTATTTTATAACACATGATTATAAATTAATGGCCAATTGCTAAGTAAAGCAATTAATTAATTCTCTTTCTACAGAGGATTATTGACTTTGTAAAAATGTTGCACTATGTAGAACCTCTTTGTCATTTAAAACTAATATATAAATTTGTTTGACGATCTGAAACATTACAGTGTGACAAACATGCAAAAAGATAAGAAATCAGTAAGGGGGCAAACACTTTTTCACACCACTGTATATGCTTATGTACAACACATCATATTATGCAAAGCTTCCAAATCAAGAATACATGTATTTTTTGTGATTTGGACGGTCAAAAAAGTTATTTTGACTCTTGTCTCTGCAGTTCATTTTAACAAAGATATTTTCTTGTTTTGTTGGTGCCAGATATTTCCGAGAAACGGTTCTTGAGAATGTCGGCGCACATCAGCTTTAACTCATGCAGTTGTTAAACATGAATGATGTTCCTCTCAACTATACTGTAAAAAATGTTGCTCTTTATAGTACTTTCACCCATTTATCTGTTTTTGTTTGTTGTGGATTTGAAGGCATATTTCTTATCTTTCAGTCAGCCACTGATTTTGTTTTGCAGGTGTCACCATGATTTTGCTGAGCTGTATTGTAACTTATAGAGCCAAAAAAAACCCACTATGGTGCAAACTGTTTTGCAGTCTTTTGTGTTATTGCATGTCAGTGGGAATTATGTCGTTCTTCACAGAATTCAACAACAATCATAGATGTGTTGTGTACAGCATCTACCAGTTGGCATCCTTGTAGGGTAATAAAAATGTGTTAATGGATTTAAAACATCATAGTGCGCTTTGGAAAAAGTTGGCAGCATTATGTAGACCTACATGTTCTGCATTTAATGCAGTCAATCGACCAATGTAGTCCTTTAAACCACTGTTTGATCAGAGCTTATTTCTCATGATTGATGGGCCAGATGGCCAGCTTAGAAGTTTTGGCGTTGCATAAGAGAGGGTTCCTCGATGACTTCAAACAGCTGGGCTCATCCCATCATGATTAAAACCTTGTTAAATCTACAAGGGCTCCTGCAGTGTGTGTGCTATGGACCACAGACCTCAAAGCCATATCAAACTTGCAACAACATGTTTGTAAAATTGAGAAATACATTTTCACTGTCATTCTGCAACCAGTTGTTTGCTCCTTTCCAATGGAGGAAAGGATTTGAAACGCTACAGGCTCTGCTTTGATCAACAGGGTTGTATGTGACATTGCTACAAGAAGCTGCTGCCATGTACCAGTTGTAAACATCCCTGTGTAATATTTGGTAGTAGTCTTTGAATACAGTCCGTGCCTTGCATGTGAATCAGATTTAATCCCACTGGAAGATGGTCTAAAGCCTTTGATGACTGGCATCAGTTTGAACTTAGAATGACTTGGACAAGCCAACAAAGGCAAGTAGAGGTACTGTGACTATCTGCCGCTTTAAAAACCGCTTGAACAACAAGTATACTACAAGTTTGCTAATGTCAGCAGAGGTTGGTCTCCTGCACTCAGAATACTCCTGTACAGTGAGACGATGGATGCAAGAGGACTGCACACTGTGAGAAATGGTTTAGAAATGAAAACAAATTGCAGGGCAAGAAGCTTTATTGTGAAGGTGTTGACTTGACCTTCAGGCGATATCGGAGAAAAAAACAACAAGAAACCATACAGCCTACACAAGGACTCAACCAAAACAGTGGACGTAATTGAAAGTGCTGATCTTTGGGAGACATTGAGTTGTTTTATGTGTTTTCTAGTCTAAATAGTTGCTTCACAAAGTTCCATAGCACAAAAAAAGGTGTGTTCCACAACACCATCCCTACTCATTCCAAAACTATATACTATCTTTGTGAACTGGTAACCCAGATAAGGAGGCGTACATGCTTATTTCCCAACATGTGGCTACATAAAGCATTGAATTCCTTTGTCCTCTGAAGGGTAAAGATCTTCATCTCTGTGTAAAAGAGCTCCCAAACAACATTTAGCAAAGGTAGTCACTACATGTAAATTTAGATTCTAGATTTAGATGTAGATTTAACCCCACTGGAAGACCATCTTCCAGTGGGGTTAAATCTGATTCCATGCAAGGCACGGACTGTATTCAGAGACTACTACCAAAAATTACACAGGGATGTTTACAACTGGTACATGGCAGCAGTATCTTTGCATTGGGCAGTTGTTGCAGGAAAATCAAACTCAAAAGCAGATTTGTGAGTTTGATGTGTAACTCCTCAGCAATGACCTTATCTCAGCAGAACAGACAAGACTCTTTTTCTGAAATTACAAACCTGTATGCATGTTCATCTGATGAGCTCTCTGCACTCAGACAAATGCTAACAGTTTGCCTAGCAGTACAAAATCATCACGGCATCGATTATCTGAAAGCATTTCAGCTCATAGTACAGTACAGTAACTATTTACTGAAATCACATTTGGTTATTGCTGAAGTAGAAATGTTTTTTTAATCTGTACTTTAATTATTGAAAGGAAAAGATAATCTTTGGGAAACATTGTCTGTGCAAATTCTCAGTCATCCAGGTCATAGTATGCTGAAAAAACTTAGCTAGAAGGCATCTGGATGTAGTTTTGGGTAGAAGACATCACTTTTCACATGTTGGTGTTTGTGCCTGATAACAGCTTGTAGCATGGATAGAGTGTGCTGTATCAGCAATTGAGGAGTAAAGACCACTAACATCTAAATATACACTGCTTAATGTGCTGCAGCTAACTGGCTAATTAGCCAACTTGCAGACTGATGTTAATGGTGCACTTTTCTTTGGTTTGTCTGGTGGCTCAGTGAACAAGCTGTTGTTAAAGAAGTGCTGTCCTGATGGTATTCTCAGAATCTCCATCAGTTGGTTAGAAGTACAATGGTGTTTTATATTGGGTTTTCAGATCTCAAGAGTTAATTATCTTTTCCAGATTAATATCTGGAAAGCCAATGCATTAGTGCCAGTTAGCTGCAGCACATTGTTTGTGGCTAAAATTTGGTCAGAACATCTTTTGGCCATGTTATGTAGGGGCCAGGGAGCACACTGTGACCCTAAATAACTGATAACAACAAGGACATGACAGTAACCTTTGCCTCACTGCTGTAGACAACCAGATTTGGACCACTGTCAACTCTTTTGTGCAGCCTGGTTGCTTGTGTTGGAAACCGTTTTTCCTGTGCTTAGAAAAACAAAGCTGGATCCTTCGGTGTACGGTCGAACTGAGTAAGAGTGCCCCTGTTGAAATGTTTTACTATGTGTGAAATTGTGGCATTATCAACTTTATGGAATAACACATAAGTGAACCGTACCGATACTGAAATTAATGGACCTGAAAAAAGAGAGAAGTAAAACACATTAAAGCTTGTGAGACTAACAAATTACTTTATTTGTTAAAATAGATAAAAACTAAAGCACAGACTATAGCACCATAAACTGATGCAACAGAATCGTCAGGCAGTAGATTGCACCGGACATACAGGGGTTAAATACTGCAATTTATCCCACTAATTGCATTACCTTGAAAATGTGAAATGTAAATGCTAGACATAAGTCTTTCATTCCCACTTTTGTTCTGGATTATTAATGAAGCTGAGCCGCTTGTTCTTCCATCCATCCATCCATCCATTTTCCTCCGCTTATCCGGGACCGGGTC